TAATTTGAAATCGATACATATTTAAAAGATCGAATACCAATTCCTTTTATTCCAACCACATGTATTACCTTCAATAATGTTCAAGGACTCACTGTACTGCATGCAGGTTAGGTAAGAAATTTGCAGGAAACATGCCAAAGAGGTATTTTTCTAAATCAATGTGTTTCTTTAGTGCCTACATAAATTCCAAAATTTCAACAACCACCATTGACGTTTCTTAGAAAAGTTGGAGAAATGATCTTCCCCATCTTTTAATTGTTCTTATTACTGGGTAATGTAACTCAAAAAATTTTAAAGCGTTGATTGTTACCATATCAATTTATTCTTGCTATAAGTTAAAATATATGTTTTGTTCTATAATGATGTGTTTCATTTTACTTCAAATTTTAAATTCATAAATCATAATTGAAGTGCACATGAGCGCATGCATACTCCCCCATGACCTTTCACATCATGAGTTTAATTAGTTTATTCATACCAAAAATATGTGTTCTATCTCAACTAAGAAAGTTAAGCTCAAAATAGAGCTCAATGTAACCAGTTTGATTGACGTGAGAGCCGTGCACTCTCGTTCCTTAAGAGAAGTCGGGAGTTCGAACCCCCTCACGTATGAAAACCCCAATTTGGCCAGCACTTTACCCCTTAATTGGGCCAGTTCAGAGCGAACGGGGATTAATCTGAGTATAGTACGAGCTTAAAAGTACCTTCTACAGTTACGGCCTGCTCATGACACTTACACATCCCGTTGGTCAGACTGTTACCTTGGTAACCACAAGATTCTATGTTGCACTTTCAGTGGGAGCGGTCTATTCATATTCTTTATTGGACAACCTAAGCTGATTTACCTTTTTATGAACTTTTGACGGCTAAGATAACTAGACGAGGTTTACTCAATGCACACCCTCAAACACATATACCGACAAAGTAACATTTTCTATAATTTTGTGCCTAGAAGAAAGCAATTAAAGAGGAAGTGGGGAAGCAATTGATGAGTAGCACAAGCATAATAATATCTCAATGATGGGGTCCCCTTTTGGCTGTTTGTCCATGGAAGAAGTCTTTAGCTTATCTACACTAATTAATGGGGACTTGAAGCTAACACCATATATGGTGGAATAGTGCTTTCTTTCTAGACAATGACTTCAACTACTACATATCAAAACAAAGAGAGACACCACGTTTTCATCGTTTCATTCACTTCTTCCCAACATTATCAAACACAACAAATTAGTGTCACCACCATCCACACACTATATATATATATATATATATATATATATATATATATATATATATATATATATATATATATATATATATATATATATATAGATTTTGATTCCTATGAGGTCAAGTCTTCCCGTGCGGTCAGTGCGGCATACACCATTAGGTATTCATAAATGCACCATACAGTGTTCGAAAATACACCAGAATGAAATGCCAAAAAATACACCACACAACAAAAATATACACCACATATAATGGTGTATTTACGAACACTGTGTGGTGCATTTATGCATACCTAATGGTGTATGCCGCACGGGAAGACCTGACCTAATAGGAACCTAACCCTATATATACATATATATATATATATATATATATATATATATATATATATATAATGCATCTATCAATTTAATAATATTGAAAAAATTTAACGATATTCAATAATAAAAACGTTGACTAGTATAAATAAAAAAGAACAGTAATATTTTTTTATAACTAGTAAAAAAATAAAGTTATTATTTATTTAAAAATGTCATTTTTTCGATCCGAGATTAAAAGGATAAAAGCTACCATATCTGCCTTCGAGTGATTTTAAGACTTAATAGGTATTATTTGTATAATAATTTTGACACATGGATGCTATGTCATGTTAAAAGGTTATAAATATAAATGACAAGTTAGCAATTTTTAGCAGGTGATCAATAAATAACATGATATCAATGAATAACTTGCTAAATGTGTTTATTGCATTTTTTTTAATAGGTTCAAATGTGCATTTGGAGTTTTTAAATTTTCACTGATTTAAATATTTTTTTTATTAATAGTTCTCGAGTTCATTTAATTGTTATTGTGAATATTTATAATGATACCAATTCCATACTAATCATAGTGCCTAATGATATGGCCATTTAACTTTGCTAGTGACATCGACTACCTCTCAATATTATAAGATTTATTTATAGTACTTTGGAACGAGTTTTACTATGTGTTTATATATCGGATTAGATGCAGTGGCCTTCTCCCATGCAGGAATACGGTCAGTCTTGGATAATTTGATGAGCTCCATGCTTTTAACGGTTGAAAATAAATGAAAATGAGAGAGAAAAACACAATTACATTTTTGTAATTTTGTGCACTATGTTTATTTCAGTGGTGCACAAATTGATGGTCTGTGGTGCACCACCAACAGGCTAAAAGTCAAGGAAAATGGGAAAAAGTAGTGACTTTTTTAGTTTTATGCACTATGTATATTTTGTGGTTCACTAAGAGGAGGTCATTAGTGCACACAGAGTCAATAACGCCTCCATTGAAGCTCAACCTCATGACCTCCCACATAGAAGATGTCACTACATGCCATCTGAGCATAAGGTGCTTAGCAAAATTGACCTTATATATATTAGAATGCATTTATGTAACAATTACAGTGCATTTTGTAAATTCGCAAGTTCAAATGAAAAGCTCAATTCAAACCTGAGCAAAATATATATATATATATATATATATATATATATATATAGTGGTGGTGGTAGTCATTAAGGGACAACGCCATATGCTCATTAGTCTTTTATTTTATTATTGAGATGTCTGATTCTTATTAATTGAAAAATCATATCACATAAATATTTTAGATTGATTTGACATTTATATTTATAAAATCTTTTGCATGCACATTGCGCGACTAATTTAATGCTCAAGATTATATAGTAGAAGTTCAAAATAAAGATATAAACAAGCTAATTAGCAGTTAATATTGAATTTGTTAGAAAATTATTTGTGTGGGTCATGGTCCATATAGTTGTGTGGATCATGAATACAAAATGCATTTTTAATATACTAAAAATATATTATTTGTGTACTGAATATATACTATTTAATAGTATACAAAAAAAAAATATACTTTCAATACTCAAATTCAATACTTTCAAATAATATATCTTACGTATATAAATAATAATACAATTTTAATATATTAAAAATATACTTTTTATTTATAATTCACACAATTGTATGGATGATAGTTCATGGAATAGTGAATGGAATTTGTTGAGGTAATATAATGCTGTCCTAACACCCATTTTGTACTGGGCTATACAAAAGATTCGGCCCATGAATGTTAAGGAAGAATTGGGCAAATTATGCTATGCAAATGCATACGGATGCAAAAACGACGTCGTTTTAATAAAACGCGCGTCTCCCCTTTAAAAAAAAAAAAAAAAAAAACAGGTTCGATTCCCAGCAACAATATATGAACTAAAATTCCATAATCGAGGAACTATAATTCCATAATCTAATCTATGAACTAAAAATTCCAGAATGAATGAACTAAAATTCCATAATCTATAAACTAAAATTTCAGAATCGATGAACTACAATTCCATAATCGATGAACTATAATTCCATAATCAATGAACTATAATTCCATAATCTATGAACTAAAATTCCAGAATGAATGAACAATATAATGTTGTTGCTAGGAATTGAACCTACATTTTTTTTAAAGGGGAGACGCGCGTTCTTTAATAAAACGACGTCGTTTTGGCATCTGTATGCACCATGCATGGTGCATACGAATGCACAGCATAACTATCCGAAGAATTGAAGGCCAACAAATAATGTCCATATGTTGAGCCCACGACGCGGATATCGGCAAATTATGCTGTGGAATCGTGTCCACTTTGTGAATATAGAGTAAAAAATTACGAATATAGAAATTTTTAATTATGAACACAGAGTTATGAACATAGAGTTCAATAATTATGAATATGAAGTTCAAAAATTACGAATATAAAATTTATAATTATGAACATAGAGTTTAGTAATTATGAACATAGAACCGTATACATCTTGCAAAGTAGACACGATTCCACGGCATAACAATTGTTGGCAGATAACGATGGAACATCTGGCAAAGACATACGTAATGACCATTAAATATTAGGAGTGTTTGGTTGGATAGAAAACATGAAAAATGTTTTTTAAAAGTAGAGAAAAATTTTGTTTTATGGTGTTTAGTTGGATGGAAAATGTTTTTCATTTTTCATTAGAAAAGCAATTCCTTAAAGTTGAGCAAAACAAATTTTTAGCAAAAGGGTGGTATTTTGTTTTCCACATGACATGGGATGTAAAGATAACATGATTGGCCAAAACTTTTACTGTGTTTATTAATCTATTCTTTGGGGACCTATATATATATATATATATATATATATACACACACACACACACACAAAGGTTCCTGTGAGAACAGTACCATAGGAAAGAAATAAGAATCAATCTTAGCCTTACATCTATATATATATATATATATATATATATATATATATATACACACTGACACACACACACATGATATTCAATAAAAATATAAAATGACATTACTTTTTTTTTTTTTGCCTAACAACCCAAGATCCTCTCTGGTTAGTTAGTTTTCTTTTCCTACAACTGGATAATAAAATTACACAAAATTTCAAAATGTAACATGAAAATACAATTTTTTTTTTTTTTTAAAAAATTGAATTATAAAAGTTTGAATTTGTCCATCAATAAACCTAAGATTGTGAAAATACGTTCAAGTGAAAAGTTTTTGTGTGCAAAATCTTTCTCAAAGCAGAATATAATACTCTAGCAACTAATTTCAAGGAGGCAAGGAGATTGTTCAAAAACAGAGAGGACCAGCAGGCTAATGAGGACTGTGTTTGATCATCATACCCAAGTGATTTAGACATGAATTTTCTTCAAATCACTTATATATAGAGGATTACTTGATGATATAATGTCAAAAGAGTAAAATTTTCATTTAGATAACAGATAGTAGATAGAATAAGCTGGCTGATGACTTTTGCATGGAATTCGTACCTGATTTCCATTGAGATACTCGTTTAAATACATCAAGGCTCCGTTGAACAGCTAGTGTTACACAATCTCGAAATTTCAGAACATTTTATACATGCTAATCTAGTCAGTGAAGACCAGATAACGGAAAGATTCCCATTGCGCTGCTCAGCCTAACAGACAGAAATATCACATAGATGATGAGCAGTCCACCACCGAGCAGTCTGTTAGGGCGCATGTCATTTCTAGGAAGGACAATGAGAGCCCACACTAGTCCCAACATAAGGAAAGTCATTGTGAAATACAAGCTTTTGTCTAACGGAAGCACGTATGAACCAGGTTTCTCAGACCAGGCTCCGAGGAACATTGAGATTCCCAAACCAATAAGAATATTGAACATTGGGCCAGCATAACATCCCGACACGGCAATCTGCACGCTATCCCCACCGTTCATTGCCAAGGCAACATTTGAAACCAAATCGCCCATTGAGTTTCCCCATGCCAGTACGGTTAACCCAAGGATTGAAGGATTTACCCCCATAATCACGCCTAATCCAACCAACAAACCTACAAGCTCATTGGCAATCATGTAGAACCAGACAATGCTCATTACAAAACCACCCAGAGCCCATGGAAGTAAGAAGTTCTGAGGTGGATGATCGGACCTTGTATGCTTGTATGCAAGAAGACCAAGTGTGCAACCAACTAAAACGCCAATAACAAATGCTATAAGTTTGCTATGATTACTCACATCGTCTTGACTACTCCAGAGAAATACCAAAAGAATTGGAGCCAGAGAAGCACAGGCTACAGCATAGAACTTTGACCAAGTTTCCCCTTCAACTAGGGGAATTGTTAATCGTCTTGGCACTGTCATTGGAATCTCCAGTAACGACCATAACTTGGACCAGGAGAATGATGCTTGCTCAACTCCAAAGTCCTTGTCATTCCATCCCCATACAGGCCACTCACTTTCAGACACCCTAATTGTCTGATTTGAATATATTGCCAGATTCGAAGCCCACATCCACTGTGGAAGGGAGCTTTGTAACTGATAACCACCACTTTCGGTCTCAGTTTCAAGAAAAGGGCTATAGACGGAGTAATCCTCTTCCGTTCCTTGAGAAAATACAGCTCCTCTTACTGGAAGCATTGGCGTGATAGAATCCAATTTCAACCTCCGAGCATGTTTCCTCAAAATCTCATTAGCGGCAACAGCAAAAGCATAAACAACATAAATCAATAAAAATGCCACGGCAGCTAAAACACTTATCCGACCAACAATCAGGATCAACAAAAGTGAGAAAAGAGTCGCAATGAAAAACACAATATCCCTAAAAAAGCACTTGCGATCAATCTGAGCATCCTGATCAGCCACACAAAGAGAAACAGCCCCGACTACAATGCAAGTTACAAACACAGCCCCACCCAGAACACTATTAAGACCAACTTCTCCAGCACCTGTCCCTACAAAAGCAGCAATACTGGCAAAGACATCAGGAGCACCATTTCCAAGGGGGAGCAAAGCAACGCCCGCTACGGTAGGAGACAGCTTCAGCAAACTTGCAAGTTTCTCCAAGGAACAACAGAAGTAATCTGCAGCAGTGTTACCCAGAAGATAGAATAGCGTAACGAGCCAGATAGCAAATACTAGATAAGCCCATCCACTTTCACTGCAACCACAATAATAGAATTTTATGTAATCAAAGAACCCTCCAGTTGTGCACTTTGGGTGAGCCTTCAAGAAGTCACAACTACTCTCATAGCCCCTATGATCAGATAATCCACTACAGACATCAGGCCTCTCTATGGACAAATCACCATGATCCGACCCGTTTACACCAATTGAAGAATTAAGGTTCACTTCTAACATTCCTCGATGGATAACTCTCATAGGGCTTGACCAAGCATGAAACCCACTTTTTGACATCCATTCAATGGAAGAAGATGATTGCTGAAGACGTGGATTTCTCAAAATATATTCCCGGTTGTAGAATAAGAATATTAAGGCCAAAGAACATAACCCATTAAAAACCCCACGAATTCTGGGACTTCTTCTAGTGTAAAATTGTGCCATTATCTAACACATAAAATGCAATTTCACATACCCTATATACAGAGCCGATAAAATCCCAACCCTAGGGTTAATAACATACAATACTAGGGTTTTGATTCCGGAACTGAACTGACCTTCTAGAACCGATGGCGTGAAAATTGATGTGGGCAGTTGAATTGCAGGTCAATCAGCTCTGGCAATGGCGAATTTCTTCGTGAAAATGAAGCTCCAGGATTTTTCAAATAGGCCTCGAATAAAAGGAAGGACCGAATGAATACGGGCGGGTCAGTTCGGGGCGGGTCGAACAGTTGCGGAGCCTGGTGAATGTGAACGTGTGATCCTTCCTCGAAGCTGCTTGTTAGGTTATTTCCTTTTGGTTTACTCGAAAGAGAAGAGTCGACAATTTTTTGTCAGAGGTGAGGCCCCTTTTTGTTAGCTTGATTTAATATTATGCCATTTAGAAATTTAATCGGTCACTGTAAATAAAATGATTATTTGAAAAAGATGTTATAAAGGAATTCCTTTTTTTTTTTTTTAATGGTAAGATACAAACTTCATGGCATTGAAAGTCAAAGTATTACAAATGAAATTTGGAGGTCATAAAGTCACTCCATGCAATCAATAATAGACACAGATTTTCTAGATTGAATTAGATATAGACTGAATTAGTGTTTAGAAAATAGTTCAAAGCAGTTTATGTGATAGACTTAAAAGGTTGAAGACTGAACCAACTACAAGATTGTTCGAGCATAAGTTCAATATAGTTATTCAGCTGAGATTTTTATGGAGATCGACTATTTAAGCATCATATTCTTTCTCTATTTTGATCGAATAAAGAAATTTACAGAGAAAACCATATATACTTTGAGAAAGATTCAGGAGTTAAACGGTTGACTTGACAATCCTTCTTGAGTTGATAAAGATTTCTACATCAAGTCAATAATTACACTTGTTGTTGATCACAAGCTGATTACTAATTTATTCTCATGGAATTGACGCAAGTTTGATGCAATTGAGGGGAGCCTCAAATCGATGTTGAAGTCCTCGGCAATCACTTCTTAGCAATACACTGTTGAGTCCTTCGTGTTCTTCACTGTAATTCGGTATAGCATTTCCTTGAAATCAATGATGAACCGTGCACTAATTGCATGGGATGTCCCTAAACAGTGCGACTGCGACTTCTTGACATCGTCCTCCATCTTCAGGGAGTTCTTCTGCGCAGGTCCGTCGTCCAAAGAGCTTAGTGGATCAAGATTTGGAGGCGGCATGTTCGTTCTACGCCATTTTCTTCAAGGAGTTCTTTTACCATTGATGTTTGGAAATTAGGAATAGAAAACAAGTTGTCAAATTCAATTTTCGATAATAGAAAATAGAAAACAGAGAACAAAAGTAAACATGCCCTATATATATACATGTGAAACTATTTGTCTTATATCTATTATCATGATTGGCTTAACGTGTTATAAGTGTAAAACTATCCATTTTCTAAATCTATATCTATATGTATTTTACAGGGTTGAGCGGTTTATACTTAGCATTATATGCTAATGGGTTACTTTCTATGTTTTTCTTATAACCCCTTTCAGGCGGACTTGATATGCATGATGAGAGAGTGTATTTGATGTAGTAGTGTGTAGCCCTAGAGTGTAGTAGATGCTAGTTATAGTTATCCCTCTTCCCTTTTTGATGATACTATGTTAGATATTGATGTAGCTAGACTACCGATTTTTGGTTGGTGCGTGGACACGGGGGGTTCGCTTACCTCTTCTTTTGATGTATTGAGCTTTGACTCTAGTTTTGTAGAAGCTTAGCATGTGCAGTTACTCGAGGGTGGGTAACTGTTGCGGTGACACTCTCTTTAGATGTTGAATGTTTTGGATCTATATATCCTAGTTTATCGTTATTTCCTCGTTTTTGTCTTTTTAGACTACTTAAATCTAGGCTCTAAAGTTTAGAAAAAAAAAAAAAAGAAAAGAAAAAGAGGTGTTACACCTACAATACTTGAAACCTTCCCTACAAATGTATACTCTCATTAGTTTTTTCTTGCCGGATAGCCACCGCCATCGATCCAGGCCGTTTAAGGTTCAAATATAGACCTCATGTTTGACAGTCGTGGCTGTCATCGTCGAACAATCACGCTTGTCCGTGAAGGAGGCAACCACCGGCTGTCCTCGTCGGATAGTCGGTGGCTAGTTTTTGTTTTTGTTTTTGTTTTTGTTTTTTTTTTTTTTTTTTTTTTGTTTTGTTTTTTTTATTATTATTATAATTTATTAAGTAAATAAAAAAGTTGTTTAAAAAAAAAAACAAAATATTTTTAAAATGACACCATAAAGCTTGGAAAGAATTAATCTGTTATACATGTCGATTTGAACTCAATTGAACAATTTTACAAGTTTAGAAGATATCTAAATGATTTAGTAGCCAATTTGACTCTTTTCCAAAAATTAAACTTGAAATCACAACAACAAACACTTGAATCGGAATTTAGACCCCGTATAATTTGTATATCAATTGATGGCAGCAAATTATGCTGTGCATCCGTGTGCACCATGCATGGTGCACATGGATGCAAAAACGACATCGTTTTGATTAAAAACGTGCGTCCCACTTAAAAAAAAATCAGTTTCGATTCCCAGCAAGAGCATTATGTTGTGCATAATTTGAACTACATATCCAGAATCAATGAACTAAAAATCCAGAATCAATGAATTAAAAATTCATAATCTATGAACTAAAAATCCAGAATGAATGAACTAAAAATCCATAATGAATAAACTAAATAATTCATAATGAATGAACTAAATATCTAGCATGGATGAAAAAAAAATCAGTTGTCTAAATATCCAGAATCAATGACTTAAAAATCCAAAAGCGAAATTAATTTTTTTTAAGTGGAACGCGCAATTTTTAATCAAAACGACGTCATTTTTGCATCCGTGTGCACCATGCATGGTGCACACGGATGCACGGCATAACGCTTCTCAATTGATCCATTAACCCGATTTCGTTAATAACCCACCCGGGAAAAAAAAAGACATGTCATCGGAATAAAATGGTTTCAGAGCTGCCATCGTCTTCCTCCCTTCAAAACCCTAAACAATACGGAGTAGTAATTTAGCCTGTAAACTAAACGCTATCTGAATGAAAGTTATTGGCAGAAATCGTGAATGATTTGTTAAATTGGTAGAAGTTATTGCAATCTCGAACCAAAATTTAATACTAGCTGCTGATAACTGGGCGCCGAGCTCAAACCTTGTGCTTCGCCAGAGACAGCCGCCCTGCTCCGCCGCCAAAACCGTCGAGAACTCAATTTAACGTCGAAGCAATGTAAGTTTTTCAAGGATACAATGGATATTTGCTTCTTTTAATTCAGGCTCCAATTTGGATTATATGTGAATGCAAACTTTGTATGAAGGTCTCGTATATGCGTGAAGAATTTACCAAAATATGTTGCGGAAGACCGCCTCCGAGAATTCTTCTCCCAGAAAGGCGAAGTTACTGACGCTAAGCTCTTGCGAACCCCGTAAGATCACTTTTCTATTTTAATGAGTTTTTTTTTTTTTTTTTTTTTTTTTTTTTTTTGGGTCTATGAAATACAATAATGATGCATATAAGTGGATTCGCATTCGACCTCTCTAATTTGGAGTTTTCACTTAAACTGCTATTTTTGTAATGTGTTTTAAATAGAGATGGGAAGAGCAGACAGTTTGCTTTTGTGGGATTTAGGACGGAACAAGAAGCCAATGAAGCAATCAAGTACTTCAATAGGTCTTTTTTGGATAGTTTTCGAATTACTTGTGAGGTTTGTATTATTCTGCTTTACTTGCTGCTTCCATTATTTTTCCTGCAATGCTTCATTTTTGCTTTGAGTCAATGATAGAACATTCCCTTCATAGTATTATCTTAATGGGCGGTTCACTATATTATTTATAACTGAGTGGATGATCAGAAAACTACAGAAAGTTATGAGCTTGGAATCATCTCACTGCAAATAAATATGCAGTCACTTTGATATACTATGTGTGGATCCAGTTCCATATTTCAATGTTGTTTGTTACTAGTAAATAGTTAAGACCATATCATTTTTACCGAGAAGTGAGAGAACATAGAATAAGTAGGAAAAGAGTCAGAAGAGAGCTATCTTTCTGCATGAATTCCTTACATACGAATCAAAATTTTGTAGATTGATTACAGTTTTCTATTTAACATTGATTTCCACATGCCAGATTGCCAGGAAAATTGGTGATCCAGAAACCCCACGTCCATGGAGTCGCCACTCATTGAAAAAACAAGAGAAGTTAGGTAAGGAGGATGATAAAGTAACTTCTTCCAAAAATTCAAAGATTAAGGAGTCAAAAGTGGACAAAAAACATAGTGTAGAGGAAAATGAAAACGACGACCCTCTGCTTCAAGAGTTCCTCCAGGTCATGCAGCCTCGAAGTAAATCTAAGATGTGGGCGAACGACACAATTGGGGCTCCCTCTCTTGAGGAAAGTAAAAAGGAAACAGAAAAGAAATTTCAAAGGGAAAAGGAAAGTAAAACCAAAATGAATAGCGACAACATTGAACCAGATGAAGATGATGATAAAGAAAATGAATCATTGGAGAGTCACAAAGGTGAAAAACCAAAGAGTTTTATCCACGATGATGTTGTGACAGATATGGATTATTTCAAAAGAAGAGTAAAGAAAGACTGGTCAGATTCAGAAAGTAGTAATGAAGATGGTGATGATGATAGTGATGCTGATGATGGCAGTGATGAAAGTGATGAAAACAGCAATGAGGATGATGAGAACTCATTGAGAAAGAGCAATGATGGTTTAGATGCTCTTAAGCGTGATGATAACAAAAAGGAAGTCGGGGATAGACAGTCTAGAGAATCTAGTGATGAAATGCTTGAATCAGGTGATCCTTCATCTAATGAAGATGAAAAAGAAGTTCTTGAAAGTGGACGCTTATTTATCCGCAATCTGCCTTATACTACTACGTATGGATCTCCATTTTCCTTTTTTTTTTTTTTTTTTTTTTTTTTTTTTTTTTCTCCTTTTATATTTTGTATTCCCTTTTTATATTTGTGATTTGCACTAGGTGTTTGATATGAAGTGCCAATCACGACTAGTAAAATGATTAATCATTTTTTATATTTAATGCTTTTAATAATTCAGGGAAGAGGAGCTGGGAGAGCATTTCAGCAAATATGGGAATGTCTCACAAGTTCATATTGTTGTCGATAAAGAAACAAAGCGGTCTAAGGGGTTTGCATATGTTCTTTACTCACTCCCAGAATCTGCAGCTAGGTAAATATTTTTTCATCCATATCCAGTACCCCTATAATTTTGTCTAACTAACTTTTAATCTGGATGCCTACACTGCAATATTTTTTTTTTTTTTTTTTTTTTGATGGGTAAATAATTAAATGTTTTATTGATAAGCACTGTGAATGGTGCAATGCAAGCATTATACCTCCCATATGCACATGCTTCAATGTTAATGCAATAGAATTCACCTGTGGCTTTCATATCCAGGGCATTAGAAGAGCTGGATAGTACAATATTTCAAGGTAGATTATTGCATGTTATGCCAGCAAAGCAAAAATTTTCTTCTGAGAACCAAGAGTATGTGCAATAACTTTAGTCTCTATTACTTCCTAGTTCCTTCCATTACTGATTACTCCAATTTTTATGCATTTACAGAAAATAATTAAAGAATAGGGTTTCTTTCTTTTCATTTAAAAAAATGTTCTACAGTTGAATAAAGTGTTCCAACAAATTATTCTGCAGGGTCAATGGGTCTGGTAAACTGTCATCACAAACATTCAAACAGCAGAGAGTGGAGGAGAGGAAGGCATCTGAAGCGAGCGGAAATACACAAGCGTGGAACACTTTGTTCATGCGTCCAGATACAGTATGTTGCTTTTCAATATTGATCTCCTTAGTCATTCTTGAAAAGAAATATGCTTTTGATGAATTTTTAACTGGAAAATTGAATTAGTGGATATTGACATAACACAATACTAAAATTCTTGATGTTTTAAAATTTTGAAAAAAAGAACTTTGAGACATTCAATTTTGATGTGTTCTCTTGTTTATCTGAGACATGCCTTTAATAAAATTTGGAATTATAATTTGAGCAAATTCTTAACTATCATGTACAGACTATCATACAATCTATTATAAATATGAGCATGTGCCATTTTTAATAAATCTACTTAAGTTCCATCTCCATGCACCTGTCCAAAGTTTGGTTTGATTCCCAATTTGGATATTTGTCTATAGAGTATATATATTTTTTAAAATAAAAAAGTAAGAGGGACGAGACTATGAGGCTATGAATATGGTATTGCTTCTGCCTTACTGGAGGGTGGTGGCCATGGTCACCTACCAGATCACCATTCAATCTATTATTCCATATTAGTTAATCACTATAGTATTTATGGCTGGTTTTACATTATATCTGTGTTTTATCTTGAATTTGCTCTGATCAATGCTCTCCCTTTGCTTTTGTTTAAAAGGTTGTAGAAAATATTGCAAGGAGACTTGGTGTAAGTAAAAGTGATCTTTTAGATAAAGAAGCTTCTGATCTTGCTGTACGTATAGCATGGGGAGAAACAAAAGTCATTGCTGAGACAAAACAATGTTTTGCAAAAGCGGGAATAAATATTGCCTCTCTAGAGGAACTTGCTGCTGGTAAAACTGACAGTGTCAAAAGAAGCAATCATGTTATACTAGTAAAGAACTTGCCTTACAGTTCATCAGAAACTGAACTTGCAAATATGTTTGGGAAATTTGGAAGCCTGGATAAAGTAGTTCTTCCTCCAACTAAGACTTTGGCATTGGTATGTGCTCTATCTCCACCTTTCTAGAGTTGGAGTTGATATTTTTGAACTTTGCAGATGCTTTTTCTGTTAGTACTTCCTTTGCTTTTGTCTTCTAGTTGCTTTTCTTTCTAAGGAATCCAGCTACGCTTCTAACAACTTTTGTCATGGTTTTGTGTTAAATCTGGGAACTATACAATAATAGCATTGCTTATGTGTCTCCCTGTGTTTTTTAAATTCATTTTCTTATAGATTTTCTGGGAATGGTTTTGCAGGTGGTCTTCCTGGAACCAGCAGAAGCACGGGCAGCTTTCCGGGGTTTATCATACAAACGTTACAAGTGAGTTCATTCATTCTCTTATCATATAATTCCTGTCCCAAATTTTCACTTTTTCTTTTCATATGGGTATAAGAGCAGAACAATTTTCTATGTTTGTTTGCAGATAAGCGGGGTGAATAAAATGGGACAAAGGGAGTTGTAGTAGATATCCTTAAGATTAATAAGAAATAGTAGGGAAAAACTACAGACAGTTGGGGAATATGTCTTATACCTAGGTTTTTGTATTCTTGGAATACACTTAAGCAAATCATTTTGGTTCCAAAAGATTACCCCACCCCTGCTTGTCTGTTTTGCACCTTACTGTTCAACAGTTTCTTTGGTGGAATATAGTAGGTACAATGGGAAATTTTTGTTTCTGTTTATGCCACCTGCCACATGATCCACATGCTGACTGTGTAATTGCCTTGCACAACTCTGGCCTAGTTTTGTGAAACCATTCCTGACAGGTGATATCCTGGTGATCTTTTATAAGATATGGTACCTTAATAGACCTAAAAAAGAAATTCTCTGGCTTTCTATGGGATGCACATAGTTTACATTAGTTATGGGTTTGAGTTGGGTGTTAATTGTTCAAGTAATCATATGCAAGTCCAGGACCCCTAGGAGAGTGCAGAGGGTGGAATGTCTGACAGGTCCTTGATTTCAACCTTCGGGCCACTGTATATGAGGGTCACCTTGGGGTGGTGTGCCCTGACAGTGATCTCTTTTTGCTTGCCAGTATAGGAACGGAACTACATTCTTATCATACATAGATTCAGTAGTGGGAAGCAGATGCTATCAAAGTCAAATAGTGTCTTATAATTTAAGGATCATGTTTATGATACTTTCGCCTTTCTTGTTTCATGTTTATGTATGAACTTAACACTAATTTGAAGTGTGGTTGTTCAATGTCCTTAATACAGGGATGCTCCACTATATTTGGAATGGGCTCCTGGAAATATTCTTGATCAAACAGATGATTCAAAAAATTCTGTCATTGTTGGTGAGCAAGATGTCAAGAAAGTTTTACTAGAACAGCAAGTGGAAGGTAGAATAGATGATGTTGATCCTGACAGAGTGGAGGTATATTCTTGAATCTTGATTACTATGCATTTCTCTTCAACAGGCATGGATACACCTATTAACATTATGGGCATTGACTCATCTTAGGCAATGTAGTTCCTGTTGCCGTATCTATTTTTCTGTGTCCACTGTTCATGCCTTGATAATTCTGCTATACATTTATTGCATATTTTATGTACTCCTTGTTTATAACATTAGGTTTTTTAAATATGAAATTGATTTTAATTTGAGCTGCCTTAGTCTTCACTTGTATCCTGCAATATAAACCTCCAGTTTTGTACGGCTATTCTCTTAGTCATGAGCATATATTTGTGATGTTTTTCGACATTGCCAAATATCATTCAGTTACCGCGGGAAATAAAAATAAAAAGTGGATGACGGAGAAGAGGATGACTTTGTTTTGCTATTCCTTCTTTTGAACAATATTCACTGCCTCTTTGTTGTGCTTTAAACTCCTCTTTGTTCCTTGACTTGGATATCTGATCAATCACTTATTTTTTTTCCATATTTATTTCTGTTCAGTCAAGATCACTCTATGTCAAGAACTTGAACTTCAAAACAGCTGATGAGAGCTTGAAAAAGCACTTCAGTGAAAACATGAAGGGTGGACGGATACTTAGTGTCAGGGTAATTCTATCTGGTCCTTTCCTTGTTAGCACTTTTACCGTTAAATTGGTCTTTCCGCTGGTGTGATCTTTAGAGTTTCTTTCAAATCTTCCATCTTACTATTCCCGGGTGTTTGGCAGGTGAAAAAGCACACAAAAAATGGAAAGACTGTTTCAATGGGTTTTGGATTTATTGAGTTTGATTCTGTGGATACTGCAGTAAATGTTTGCAAGGATTTACAGGTAACATTCCATGAGCTACCAACAAAAATTCTCGCATGAGTTTGATGGTAATTATATGCACATATTTTATGTACCTAATCCATGATGCTTTCTTCTCATATTAGGGGACTGTTTTAGATGGCCATGCACTCATTTTGCAACTTTGTCATGCTAAGAAGGATGAACAAGTACTAAAAAAAGTTGACAAGGACAAGAGTTCAACAAAATTGCTTGTGAGAAATGTTGCATTCGAGGCAACAGAGAAAGATCTCAGGCAATTATTCAATCCTTTTGGCCAGGTAAAATTCGTCATGACATCATTACAGACTTTATGTACAGGGTAACAAGGTTGATGATTAAGGATCAAAACTATTCTAAGTTGGGCTATGATATAGTGTCTAATCAAATATTAACAGCACCCTATACTTAATCACTGATATCATCGAATCTTTATAAGATAGAGGGCTGTTCAAGTGCGGGTATTACAATCTATTTTAAGAACTGTTTTTATGCATTGAAGAATCAACCTCAACCCTTCTTTTTTGTTTTATGATTGGATCTCTTCTCTTCTCTTCTCTTCTCTTCTGTTGTTACAATGATTCAAATTGATTTACAATTCAAGTATTTACTTTATAAAATGAGTTTCACCCGGCAGATTAAGAGTTTGAGGCTGCCGATGAGGTTTGGGAGCCATCGAGGTTTTGCATTCGTGGAGTTCGTTACAAAGCAAGAAGCACAGAACGCCTTCGAAGCTCTTTCTAGTACTCACTTATACGGTCGCCATCTGGTACGCCCCCCCTAAAAATTCTATAATGTCGTCTAGTCTAGTTTCGATATGAGCATGTCCTTTACTGAATATCCTTGGTTTCAGGTTCTGGAAAGAGCAAAAGAAGGCGAGAGCTTGGAGGAACTACGAGCTCGAACAGCTGCCCAATTTGCCGGCGAGGAGAATGGGTTCCAAACGTCCGCCAAATTATCAAAGAAAAGGAAACACATGGCTGTATTGGATGAACGGACCGTTAAATTTGAAAGAATTGCAGATTAGTAGTTCTATACTTGTATTAACATGGTATTGTGGAAGGATAAAACCTGAGCGGAATTGGTTACCCAGGTTACTGGTATCAATTTTTGCGAGTGGAACACAACTTGTATCAAAAATTTTGTATTATCTAAAAAGGCAAGATTTTCTTTTATTTCATTCCTGGTAAACGAGATTTCTTTATCTAAAATAAATCTTTTTGTACTCCACTATGAAACACAGAAGAGGATGCGAGTCGTGACTCGTGACTGAAGAAGAATACAGATATTGGCAGCGCGTGGAGTATGGGTGTACTCCGCATTACGCAGCGCCTTGTCATCTCGGATTATGAGTTATCTGGTACACAGATCCGACATGGGCCCCCCTCACAGTTCTCTGCTTCTACGTCTCTTCATCCGTTTGATCCAACAGAATAGTTAAGAATATATTATGCGTCTCAAAGTTGTACTTTTCAATTCTAAAGGAGTAAATACTCAAAATGGTCCCTCGACTATAGCTAAATTTACAAATTGGATCTCGACTTTTAATTTTAATCAATTAAGTCCTTAACTTTGCAATTTTAACACGATTTGATCCTCCGTCTATTTGACTGATTTTTGAGGATATATATGTAGTTTCATGGTCCTTTTTTAAGGTTTCGGTTGCATTTCCAAACCGCACTGTTACTTTTGAATCCATTGCCGAAGGCAATTTGCCAAATTCTATCGCCTTTCTTCATCCTCCCTTTGGATTCAATGTACTTGAGTTCGTATCAAAGCGAAGAAGACGAAGTGTTTTCGAACCGGTGCAGCGTCATCCTGGAGGCCTCCACGTGTTCCGACGAGAGCTGCAAGTTCTTTTGGAGATCGTCGATGACGGCGCGACCGTCGACGTTGATGCAGAAGTGTTCAAAGGCCTGTTTGAAGTCGGGAATGTAGGATTTCCAGTTGGGATTGAAGATTTTCCGGTCGATAGACTGTGTCACGACAGCGAAGGAGGGCGGGCGGTGATGAAATTATATATATATCCTCAGAGATCACGGTTAACAAACGGTCAAATAGACGGATGACCAAATCGTGTTAAAATTGCAAAGTTAAGGACTTAATTGGTTAAAATTGAAAGTCGAGGATCAATTTGTGAATTTAGCTATAGTTGAGGGACCATTAAATCGAAATTCCGATGGTGGAGTATTTACTATTTGGATTGCAATAGATTGAAAAAATATAGAATATATACTACCTTGTAATAGAATTAATAGTACAATTTTTTTTTTTTTAAAATGTAAGAAATTCCACCGAATTGCCGAAGCTCCCCTTTAGCAGGACTCAAAATATAACAGGGAGCATTACAGCGTTACAGATAAATGATTTAGCATTTAGCAATCAATCATCACAGTAGCATACATACCAGTGCACTAGCTCCGGCATAGGCATCGTGTCTCGGGATTACAGGCGAGATTATATCAAGCTATTTCTCCGGTTCCAAGTGATCAAACTTCCTCTCTCCGGTGCTTTTCGGTTTGATTCTCTTTGTTTTTATGCTTATTAACGTAATTTTGGAATGTAGAGATGAGTTTCGCGAAGCGAGAGCACGAGTTCCTCAAGGAGATCGGAATCGGCCCTACAAACCTCGGCTGCTACGTCAATGGGGCGTGGAAGGCTAGTGGACCTACGGTCTCCACTGTAAATCCGGCCAACAATGAGGTCAGTTCATTTAGTTAAGCTTTCTTCGTTTTGATTTTGAAAAGCAGGCAGTGAGATTGTGAGAAAATGGAGTGAATAGTTGATAGATGGAGAGTGGCAATAACTGCAAATTGAACTTCGGAGTGTTTTTTACACGAAAAAATTGGAGTTCCTAATTTGTTTGAAGATTTATTGTTCCGAATTTCATTGATTCGAGAAGTATGGTTGATCATTATTTGTTAATAAGGAGTAGTTCCTTTTATGGATTGCGGCGCTGATAGTTTATTTTTATTTTTATTTCTGTGTTCATTAACTCAGACCATAGCCGAAGTTGTTGAAGCTTCAATTGAAGATTATGAAGAAGGCATGCAGGCTTGTAACGAAGCAGCAAAGCTGTGGATGCAGGTATATTCATCACTATGATAGCAATCTTGTCAGCTTATCTGACTTTTGCCTTCACTGTTGTCAAAATCACCTGCCTAAAGTAGTGTCACTCACATAATTGTGTGCCTACAGTGAGAAAAACATCTTAATTTTGTACTTGATCTCTTCTTGACTCCTTTAGTGTAAACTAAATGTCTTGATTGTTTCTATTTTGTCTCAGATTCCAGCACCAAAAAGAGGTGATATTGTTAGGCAGATTGGTGATGCACTTAGAGCAAAACTTCACTACTTTGGCCGACTTGTTTCACTTGAAATGGGGAAAATACTACCCGAAGGAATTGGGGAGGTTCAAGTATGTATACTTTACTAAGTCTGTGGTGTAACAAAAAAGTCTTATTCTCCTGCAACAATGAAACTGTTCCTTGACTTGTTCTCCTGCCAACAATAATGTACAAGTTAATTCCATTTTCCCTGAGAATAATTGATGGTTGTCATTTCTAAATTACTTACTACTTGGGCCGATGTGCTAGTGCATAATCATCTTGGATCTTCCTTTTTGATTATCACATTTTTTCGAATAGCTATTACATATTAAATCAGCAATACTTAAATGCAAGTGGTGGTACTAATTACTGATTAGTTATATGTTTTCTTTTAGCATTCATGCCAGAATGAATTAATGGTGTAACTTTGAAAACAATTTAATCAGGAAATTGTTGACATGTGTGACTTCGCTGTTGGTTTGAGCCGACAACTAAATGGATCAGTCATACCATCAGAACGTGAGTCCACTCTTCTTCACCTGCTTATATCTGATTTCTTTGTAAATTGTAAATGCTCTAAGAGTTTTATGATCTGGATATTGATATGCTGCTTCTTCTGGATTTTTGGGCTTCTTTGCAAAGCTTTTTCAGAAGTTCAATTTAATTAGTTGTGTTCTTTTTTCTTTTTCTTTTTTCAACAGGCCCTAATCATGCGATGTTGGAGGTGAAGTAGATAACAGACCATAATTTTGGTATTATGTTTTTTTTTCTATACTACACTTGATGTTCCTTGTCTATTCTTCATGGACAGATGTGGAATCCTCTAGGGGTAGTTGGTGTCATTACAGCTTTTAACTTTCCATGTGCAGTTCTTGGTAAGAATTGAGATTTCTTGATGGTTTGCAATATATTTTATCAGTTATAGAGTGTTGCTTTGTCATTTGTGAATTCACAAGAGTTTCTGAGAATGTTTCTGGTGATTTAATATTTTGGTTTGGCATTATATTGGTAAAGTTTTTACCAAACACTATTAGATGATCACTTTGGGATTAATGAGTAATTTTTTCAAACATGATTGTACAGGATGGAATGCATGCCTTGCATTAGTATGTGGCAACTGTGTTGTCTGGTAATTTCCTAACCAAAGTCGTCTTAGATTATGATAGCAACTGTTTTCTGATTTTCTCCTTTTTTACTTTATTTGAAAAGAAAATATTTGATTTTTAATGGTCAGCGGTTTCTCTCACTGGATTTCTTCTCTGCTTAAGTGTGTTCTTCTAAATGTTGACTTAATCCCTTCAAAAGTCTGGATGTCTTAGAGAGTGACAGTCCTACACTCCTACTTCTTGATTCAAGTCCATGTTTAAAATCCTCTTTTCATATTTAAACTAGATTCTATGTTTTAATTTGTTTATCTACTCTATGATCACAGGAAAGGTGCTCCAACTACACCATTGGTTACAATAGCAATGACAAAAATCATTGCTGGGGTGTTAGAGAAAAACAATTTGCCTGGTGCAATTTTCACTGCTTTTTGTGGGGGTGCTGAAATTGGTCAAGCCATAGCAAAAGATACACGAATCCCTCTAGTGTCATTCACTGGTAGCTCAAAGGTAACTTGTCTCACTTGTTTCTGGCAACCATTCACCGACAGATAATATTTATTGCTATTATTCTGACTGCCATCTGCCACCTTTGTATTTTCCCTACTTGTGTTTGTGCCTACTGCAGGTGGGTCTTTCAGTACAACAAACAGTAAATCAGAGGTTTGGTAAATGCCTACTTGAGTTAAGTGGTAATAATGCTATAATTGTAATGGATGATTCCGAAATTGAACTTGTGGTTCGTGCTGTTTTGTTTGCTGCGGTTGGAACAGCCGGTCAGCGCTGCACAACATGCCGTAGGCTGGTAAAAATGATTTTTTTTTTTTTTTAAATAATTCATATTACACTTTATTGTGTAATTATTTCATTTAAAAAAATGGCTAACACTCTTCTTTGTGATTCCTTACAATGAAGCTTATTCATGAAAGTATATATCACAAAGTAGTTGAACGACTTCTTGATGTATACAAGCAAGTTAAGATAGGAGATCCTTTAGAGAAGGGTACCTTGCTTGGACCACTGCATACACGTTCTTCAAGGGAGAACTTTGAGAAAGGAATTCAGAAAATTGTTTCGGAGGTATGTACTGTAATTTTCACATTTTTCATTAAAGTATTAAATTACCAACTTTCCATTGAGCCAGATGGTTTTAAACTCTATTTTATATTTGATTATACTCTTTTAAATAAATAAATGTTTTGTGATGATTTCTTTATCCTAATTCTGTAACCCTTCCTCACAGCGCACCAGTGTAGCTCCTATAAGCACTATTATCCTGTGATCTATAATTAGCACATTACTCATATCCTTCCAGTCTCTTTTTGACATACTTAAACGCTGAAATTTCATAAGCTCTGCTTTATAATAGCATCAAATATGATCTTATGTTGAAAACTTAAAGGGTGGTTTACACACACCCCTATCTTCAAGGTTATCCACCATTATTTTTGTCCTTCTGAAGAATGAATGATATTGTCTTGGAATAACCAGAATACCAGATCACATCTCAAGACAACCAGGCATATAGCAGCAATGGTTTCTTATATGCTTTGTGTCTTTGACTCTTGTTTTTTCTATAAAATTTTACTAATAGATTTAATTTTCAGGGAGGCAAGATCCTTACAGGAGGTTCAGTTATACCATCTGAAGGGAACTTTGTGCAGCCAACAATAGTAGAAATATCTCCAAGTGCTAATGTCGTGAAGGAAGAGTTGTTTGGCCCAGTTCTTTATGTTATGAAATTTAAGGTAGCTACTTTTTTATTCAAATTTATGGTTTTCATTGATTAGAAATTGTTTTGTGTTGTGTCATGGACAAACATTGTTCAATTAATGTCTCAGTTCTGAGTACCCACTCTTCTTGCAGACATTTAAGGAGGCTGTTGAAATAAACAACTCTGTGCCTCAGGGTTTGAGTAGTTCAATCTTCACCAAGAAACCTGAATATATATTCAATTGGATTGGGTTAGTATTTCAACAGCTTATTTTCTCAATTAATGAAATTGAATTTCAGTCCATAAAATACTTAATGTCTCATACTTTATCTAATTACAATCTTCAACTTTAACCAATAGATTTATCACATGAGATCTAGACATTTCCAGAAAGATTATATGTTGTGGTGTTTGATACAGATGATTTAATTTGATTATTGGGATTATAAATTAAATATACCTTTTACATATTTGACAAAAAATAATAGATTGCATGCCTTTTTTTGCATATATTTTTCAATATTAGATCTTATTTTAGATTTCTTTTTCCAATTATGGTCCTGCATCTGTTGACATTTTTTGTTTTGATGGCAGTCCTTTAGGAAGTGATTGTGGTATTGTTAATGTGAACATACCAACAAATGGAGCTGAGATTGGTGGTGCTTTTGGAGGAGAAAAAGCTACTGGAGGTGGTCGTGAAGCGGGGAGCGATTCCTGGAAGCAATATATGAGACGCTCAACTTGGTAAATGAATGCATCCCTTGAAACATTGATACATAAATAATCATATAGCTGCCATTCTGCCAGTTAATTTCCTATCCTACATTCCTACCCGGAGATCTCCTTGGCTAACCCTGCTAGATTAATGCCACTTTGCAGTACAATCAACTATGGGTCTGAATTACCCTTGGCACAAGGAATAAATTTTGGTTGAGAGAAATCTCTGTATGGTATGTGAAAAACACTTTCCAAGATGCTGTGCTATATTTGCCATTCCCAGTTCGAATTACTGACGCCACCTTTTTCATGTGCAGATCAGAGCTCACAGGTTCTCGGCTCTTATCCTAGACAAACTGAGAGTTACTCAGGTTATCTATCTCTAAAGTTGAACAACCAAATCTCAAATAAAATACTGCAGTGGCTGATGATCTCCATTCCTCTCCTTGTCTTGAGCGGAAATCTCAGGTCTTGCCATTCTAATCTGCACTTCTGCAGTCCTTGAAACACAACTTTGAATTAATTTGAATCATAAGAACACTTTATTATGATACTAATAATCCATTCAGAAGTTTCTTCATTATTATTAATTTTTTGTTTCAAATTTAGAAGCCTAGATTAAATGCTTTACTATTGCACACGTGATAAAACCACTACCCGAAAAGCAAGCGAAATTCCAGTTGTAGTGCTCTACAAAAATCCACCAGAATTTTAGTGGACCAACTCATAATAACGTCGATCATACAAACAAAAAGTTGCACAAAAGAAGCATTTGAAAATTTGTCATATAGGTAATAGAATCAATTCCTGCCTGGTTACTTAAAGAAATAATAAAAGGATACTTGGTAGAACATGGTTAAGTAAGGACAAGTACATGCATTATTGAGGTGGTTGTCAGCTAGAGAAGAAATCATTTAAGTTTAGGTATCACCATAATTAGATTAAGATGACCTTTCCACTACTAGCCAAGAGTCCAAAACCATGATGGGGATCGGTCAAGGAACTAAGTTATACTGTGATGGTAGCCAGAAATAAGATGAGATTGGATCAACAAGTTGAGGTGTAGATTTTGATATTCCCTTGTGTGATTATGCATGCATCACTATAAGAATAATATGGGAATTTTTATTTTATAGTGTAAAGTTATACCATATGTTTTGTTTAAGGTATAAAATGAGAAAATGAAGGGAAATTTCACCACAGAGATTTTTATTTATTTATTTTTTTTTTTTTGGGATAACATTACAATACGTGCAAACAAAAATTACTCGGTAGCATCAAAATTTTACCTTTATCTGTTTCAAAGTTTTGTTGTTACTCTGTTAGGCACATGTTCACCATGCATAAAGTACAATCACAACCCTATTTCAAAACAATATTACACATAATCTTGATTAAAAATATTTAATTTGTTTGACAAAATATTAAATCAAGTGGTCTTTATATTAACAATAATCAATCCATACATGCTACATCATGCATTGTTTATTTTTGGAAGTATCTAAAACATTTTTCTTATAATAAAAAGTAAATTCAATTGTGCATAATTTAATGTGACTTTATCAACCCATCTATAATATAATAAAATGAATTTGATAGAAAGAACATTTTTGTTAGAATATAGAGTAGGTGGATTGTTAAACCACCTTGTTTTACTTCCACACGACTCGGGTAGTAGGTTGTAATATACTTGTGGGTAGTAGGTTGTATACTTGTATGTAGCCGAGGTCTCAGATTCTCTTCAAGGAATTGAAGCTTCTGTTCTGTCCTCCCATTCAATTCAGACTCGATCATCCACTACAGACCACAACTTTCCCATTCAGGTCTTTCTGGCTACGCTTCCTTTTTACTTCTAAACCCCACATTCAATCACTGAATCCATGCTACATACCCAAATGTAACCAAAATGCCAGCATGCATGCACCCTTTTCCTTCTATTTCATTATTACATACAATGCCAAATTCTAATGCCCACACCCAATCTATGATGCTGTGTGTCAACCCCAACACTGAATCACACATCATTAGGCCGGAACTGCAATTGCCACTCTATTACGCATTGAAATCCTCTGAATTAGTTGCCCCGCAAGACGAGCTCAGTTGGTTCAATCAATCACCCTAAAACTTAAGGGTCACGATTTTCCTCCTTCAGCTGAGCAAGACTAACTCGGTTGGTTCGATCAATCACTCTAAAATTTAAGGGTCGCGATTTTCCTCATTTTTCCTCCTTCAGCAGCGTAAGACTAACTCAGTTGGTTCGATCAATCACTCTAAAACTTAAGGGTCACAATTTTTTCCCCTTCAGCAGCTCAATTTGCCCGCGAAGCATGTGTTCTCCATCTCAACTAAAAACTGAAATTTAAACCCATGACCTTTGCTCTGACTCTGATACCAAATTGAAGCATGTGCTTCATCTCAACTAAAGGGTTAAGTTGATAGTTGGATTGACATTAACAGTTATATAGTCAACATTAGTTACTTTGGTCCCTCTCACTTAAATCAATGCTTCCTAAGCTAGTTAAGTATAATTATGTTTAAGTGGCAAAACCACTTATGAAAAGAATATGTAGAGAATTGAAAAGTATTTCAAAAATAGGGAAGAAATTAAATAGGATGAAGAGATACTTAATTTCTTAGTGGAAATGCTAATTGGTTTGATTGTTACACTTAGAAGGATCAAATTAAAACTAAGAAGGTTTTGCATTGAGCATTATTTGTGTTTTTTTGGATTACCATTTTTGTTCCGTGGGTCTAAATTAAATTAAACTTCTACTCCTTAGTTTCCACGTTTCTCGGCTCTTTAATTTATTCAAAGCTTTGTCGCATTTCCACACTGCAATTCACCTCCACCAACGACAGCGTCGGAATACAGCTCTCCGATCTCTTAAGCGCCGCCAGGTTAATCTCGTCGCCGCCGTTCTTCATCGGACTACTCGGCGTCGACGTGAACTTCGGTGGTTTCGACGACGAGGACCTCCGCCTCAGGATCCGCCTCATCGCCGCGATTAAGTGAACCGTCGGGTCCGGAGGCGGGCCGGCCGCCGATCGGAACTTCGTGCAGAAGTTGAGGTGCCGAGTCAACGCCTCCTCGGCGCTGATCAGCCGCTCCTCGCACCGCAGAGTCTCATCCTTCACCGCCTCCGCGCAGAGGCCGCAGATCCATTTCCCTTGGTACCGCTCCCGGATCCTCTCTATGTACGCCAGAGTGCATTCCTCTATCAATCCGCAGCAATCGCATTTCGCCAAGTCAACCTCCATCGCCGCCGTCGTTAATTTCGTCGTAACCGTCTCCGCCGTCGCCGCCGCGGTGTTCACCACGATCGAATCTGTAAGTACCGTCGTCGACATATATAGCTACTACTCAGCTGAAAATTCCATAACTATATCAGTATTAGGATCCAAAAAAACACCGAAATCAACAAAATTCTAAATGAACAAATAAATTGAGTCAAAAAATTACCAGTAGGTAATATACACAAAAACTCTTTTCCGATCCTTTGGAACTTTTTTTTTTTCTTTAATTAGTCTCTGCTTGAGCTTATTCACAGAGGAGAGACTCCACAAAACTGGATGTTGAAATTCCGTCACACTTCCCCCCACTCTCCTTCTTCAACCCTTGCTTCTTCAGGTACAGAAAAGGTCGCCATGAAACACATATGTCAGAGAAAAAAGTTTCAGAACTTTTTTTTTTTTTTTTTTTTTTTTAAAGAGAGAATTAAATGGGTTTTGATGGTGTTTGTGAAGCAGCAGAGATGGAGTTTGCAGGGTAGCAGAAGAGAGAGAGAGAGATAGATGGTATGTATGTATTATTGAGAGGTTAAAGGAGTGGGAAACTGGAAATGGTGAGGAAGAAGGGAGGAATGGGACATGGGAGGTGAAGAAAATAAAAGCAACAAAATAAAATATAAATATATAAAAGGATGAAGAATTAGGAACCTCAATGATTGATTGGCAGTATGGAGAATCCACGTCTGCCTTCTGCCCTTCTTTGCTGTCAATTAAATTCTCACTATTTTATACCTTTTATTATTGCCTATTGCCACCTTGCATTATCTATTTGGCAATTGTCACTATTCCCCCCCCTCTCTCTCCCAAGCCATAATTATTTTTTTTACAAAAAAAAATGTATTTAATATATTCTTTTATCAATTAAATCAAATCAAAGCACTTAAATATGTTAATTATACAATTGATATATTCGTCATTTTATATGACAATATTTGATTAATAAGTAGTTTCTTTTATATAGGATTGATACACCTAATATAAAGAGTTGTTTTTTTTTTTTTTTTTTTGCATTTTCATATTGTTATATATGTTTTTTTTTTCCATAAAATTACAAACATTATTGCACCGACAATTATGCAAAGAGTGGAGTTCATTCCACACAAATGACTCTTGTTTTATACTCCTTTCAATAATAAGATATATTCTCATGTGGATTTTTTTATTTTATTTTTGGTTTAAATGAGATATTATCCAGCTTGATTTGGCAACGTGGAAATTACCCCATATATATCTTTTTCAATGAAGATGCTTCAAATCAACGATGTAGCCACCTTTATCCTGGCTGCAAATTCTAAGACAAATGATACCAACAATATAATACTAACAATAAACTTTTTAAAATTTCTGGTTTTCTTCCTTGCTTGCTTCTTCATATTATTTAAACTTATACACATCAATAATTAGAACAAATCTTACAACACAGAACAATAAAATGACAATTCTTATAAATAGAAATGGGCATATCATTTTATTTTTATAAATAATGAAAATAATTAAACTATTATTTTATTTATGTTAATATCAATTTTTATTTATTATTGTCTGCTTTTAAAAAAATAAATATACAAATTAAGGAAAATGAATGAAGGAAAAGAAACAAAAAGAAAAAAGAAATTAGAGGGCATGCATGCACATCACATGGGAACAAATAAATAAAAGAGGCACTCACTTTAGCGACTATTAGTCATAAAAGTGGAAAGGTATTTTCTTAAACTGTGCCACCTGTAATTCATGGGCTCATGGCTATATCATCGAGCCGCTAAAATGTTCCTTTTGCCAGGCCACCTACTATCATTAACCTTAAATTAAAATTAAAAAATTAAAATTAAAAATAAAAGTATACGTCCAAAGATTAAAATAGTAAAAATAAAAATAAAAATTATGTAAGTAAAAAATAAAATTAATGGTGCCGTAAGATCATTTAATTGAAAAAGTTTAGTCAAGCGAGGTCCATCTTTAGCCTGGAGCAAAATAAGTTAGTAGGTGCAAATAAATTGTTTAAACCCTCAATCTCTCACTTATAACAAGATACATGCCCTATTTGGTAAATGATTGTTAATTGATTGAGTAAATTAGAGGGTATAACTAGTTGATAACATTAGTTGATTGTAGAAAGCTGTTTGGTAAATTAGTTGTTAGCTGATAACTGTTTGATATAATTTTTTTTTCAAAAAGTTAATTGAAAAAGTTGCTTTGAGTAGCTTTTTGAATTTTAGCATTTTGGAGTTACAAAAAGCTAATTAACCAAACACTTATATTGATTCGTTAACCAAATCAAAAAGCTAATAGTGGTCAAATAATTCAAAATTGACCTATTGACTAACTATTTTACCAAATAGGGCCACAATCAGTCCACTTAGCTACATCAACTCTTGTGTATTAAAGGACAGAAAATTTCATTTATGCATAGAAAGTGCGTTGGAAGCTAAGAGCATTCTTATCAGTGGGGATATTAGTGTGGAGAATGTAAGAGTGATTAGGAAAGAGTATGTGTGAGAGGAGAGAAAAAAAAAAGGAAAATTGAATTTAAAATAAAATTAAAAAAAAAATACTTTATGGCTGTCAGGCGCGCCTGACGCGCCCAGCGGGCACGTGCAGTGCACGCGCCTGCTGGGCGCAATGGTGAGAGCCACGCGTGGCTGTCACCATTGGTGTAAATATTGGTGGATCCACCAATTCTGAATTATTCCAACTCCTTGCAGAAAATTTTATTTTTTAATTATTTCCTTCCCACACTAGCTTTGCATTTCCCCTAGGAAACTTCTTATTGCTCGCACGAGCTTAGCTCACTGGTTCAATAAGCAGTATTTGGAAGAAGAGATCAAGGTTTGAAACTCGACAGCGACAATGTGGGGATCAAGGTTTGGAAGGCATAACTTTTGACTCGGTTGTCCGATTTGGACAATTTTTTTTTTTCAAATCGCGTATTTTTTCGAGATCTATCCACCGCAAACAGCCGAAGGCAGTTTGGTCCACTAATTTCTCAAAAAAATGCTTCTTTAGCTCTTAATTTTAGTTTTTTATGTATTTAGATGGTTTAAAAAATCTTTTGAACACTTTTACAACCACTTTCGTAAATAATTTCTAAGAAATAACTATAGAAACCTTATGTTTTAATACTAAATTTTAAAAATTTTAAATTTTAAATTTTATTTTTAATTAAAAAATAATAAAATAAATAAAATAAAAAATCGGCGCCTAGGCGCCCTAGGCGCTAGGCGCCCCCTTGCTCAAAGTGGGGATTATGCTCAAAGTGGGCAAATCCCTTATGCTCAAAGTGGGCAAGTCCCTTATGCGCACTGACATTTGATCTTGTCTGCTAAGCCATTGAGTTACCGTGATTTACATCCTCCCAAATGTTCTGTCGGGTCCGTGTGTGGGAGAGTATGTTTAATAAAGATAATATTTTAATTTGAAAAATTAATTGCATGAGTATAATTTCGATTAGTTTACCTCATCATAAATGTATGTGATGGCGATATGGGATCCCGTGAGGCTCATTTTTATTGGGAAGGTATTGATCCAAGGGGTGTGAAGGATGAAGGATGGCCCAAGTCTTGTTGGGCTAAAGGTGAAGATGCATGGTGACCCAAAACACAAAGGAGGAGAGAGAAATAGCCAGAGGGTGGAACCGCCGAAATCCCCGTTGCGGGGGTGGTGCCGGATTTTGTCGGACGGCCGGCGCCCCACAACAGGGCTGGTGAAGTTAGTAGCATACTAGTACCATGGCTGAAGGGGTAGTGATCAGCCCTTGCCCGCCGACGAGGTTATCCCATCAAATTCCCCGGGATATGGCGTGGCCGGTGTTGCTTGTGCGCTCCTAAGCGTGGAAACGACATTCACACTTGAGAGGGAGGGGGGGGGGGGGGGGGGCATAGTATTGAAGGTAGGTACGTACCTGCAGGGGTAGTGATCAGCCCCTATCTGCCGACGCATGGCTAGCGAGGTTAGCCCATCGAATGGTCGAACTCCCCAGGATATGGTGTGACATGTACTGTGTGGTTGGTGCGCCCTAGGAACGACAATGACGTCCCCACTTGAGGGGGCATAGTATTGAAGGTATGTATATACATTGGGTGGGTGGTGATTGACCCAATCGGCTAGTGCGTGGCTGGCGAGGGTAGCCTATCGAACTACCTAGGATGTGGCCTGGCTAGCAGCGACCAAGAGCCCCTTGGCACACCATCAACGCCCCCACCGGAGGGGGTAGAGAAGGTGAAGACATGGGTGAAGGCATGGGGCATGACATGAACACGTGGGTGGTAGTCATGGATGACGAATGTGGTTTTGACACTTATCAAGACATGAGTGGTTCTTCTACAGTATAAAAGGGGATGTCTTGCTTCCTTTAGGGCATCACCGTTTTTGATCACTACAGCACCCTTTGTTCATTGGCTTGTAGTCCTAAATCCCAAGCTATAAGTCCTAGTTTGTTTAGGCCGTTATTTCTAGCTTTGTACACACTCGTTTAGGCCTAGCGCCCCGAACAATAATATTATCATTTTCTTACCCCGTTATATTATTTCATACCCGATTTATGGTGGACCCGAAATTCTTATAAAAATTATGTCTCTCAATCTATGTGTGACATTTTTTTTACAGCAAATCATGTTATTCACATCTCTATATCATTCTAATTTTATTTAACATACTTAAAATGGTAAATCAAAATTCTTCATTTATCTTTTATTTTATCATAATAGAAACACGTTGGGAGAAAAAACCACAACTTCAAGCAAAAAAAAAAAAAAAAAAAAAAAAAAAAAAAAAGGTGATTCTTTAGAATGAAATCCACGCTTCTAGGGCAACAGTCATGATTAACAATGTGCTGCCCTTAGGGTTGAGGTTCAGTCTTTTGAAAGAATGATTAACAATGTGCAGTGTTAATAATAATAATAATAATAATTTGGAAATAATAATAATAATAATAATAATAATAATAATAATAATCCAAAGTGACAAATAACAATATTTGTTATTAGGAGGAGAGTCACATTCACATCATATTATGCATATATTATTGGACCATGTAAATAAAGACAGTGATTCCCAAACAAAAATTAATAATAACATTTAAAAAGCGAGTAACCTCCTCCAATAAAAGGGATGATTGTGAATGGGACATCCACTTGTATAGTGATTCCAAAACTTTAATTACTCCTATCTCATAGCTATACAGATATTCTTTAGGGCATTTGGAAGGATATAAATCACGGTTATTTCATCACTGTCAATCTTTAAACTTTGATCTCTTCTCTCAAATACTACTTACTGAATCATTAAACTAAGTTCGTGTGATTCGTCATCGCCAGAGTTCAAACTTTGATCTCTTCTCTCAAACACTACTTACTAAATCATTAATCTAAGTTCGTGCGAACATCTACATAGATATTCTATTCGACATTATG